GAATCGAACCCGGGTCGGCCGCGTGCAAGGCAAACGCCCTACCCGCTGTGCTATCTCTCCAGGCCCTGGAGTGACATTTTTACCCGGATGGTGATTTTGAGGTCTGGAGGCATCTCAGCAGCATGTTGCTCTCTTCAGAGATTTTCTTCGAAGCCTCTGGATTGTGCTGTTAATGAGTGGATACTGCACTAGGGGCAGTTCGTGGGCGTGACAGCCAGACAGCCAGGAGCAGAGGGAGATGGGGGAGGACTCCCATTCCCGACTCCATGCGGGTCTGGAGGTCTCAGCCACAAAACCACATACCTGGGTTTTTCAGCAGGTGCATTCTCACGCACGGGGGGCTCTTCCCGAGCCTGTGAAGATGGGCCATGAGCGTGGTGGCAATTGGGTTCTGGAGTTTATGGCCGCAGGGGCTCTGTGGAGGGACTCACTTGCTCTCCTCCGAGGTTTCCTGGATGAAGTCAGCCTGGCATGGGTGAGGAGGCAACTCTGCAGTGTGGTGCTCACCCGTCATTGAATCTTCTTCAGGAGCAATAATTCATAGGCATTGTAGGTTTCAAAGATATCTTTGATAGAATGATACATGATATTGCAGCAGTATAGATTCTGATGAACAGTGTTTAGCTATTTTTGATGATATTGATTGGATCATGGGTAGGTTGCTTTTTGGGTCACACCAGGTGTGGCTCAGTGCTCTGTGCTCTGGAGTCACTCATGGTGGGGCTTAGGGAACCATATGTGTTGCTAGGGATCAAACCACTGTTGGCTTCTTGTAAAGGAAACGCCTTACTCCTCTAGTATCTCTTCGACCTCTGTTTGTCATCATAAGTAAAATAGGATAAGTAGACGGAGCACCAACATTTAAAGGGTTCAGTTTTTTTTTTTATCTTTAAAACTTAATTTTCAAGAATTGTGTAATTTGGAATTATATGTTGCTAACAGTTATACTTTCTCGCTTGGAAAAAACATGACCTTAGTCATTAATAATAGTAAATGAAAATAGAAAAGTCTTATGTAGCTCTGTTAGTAAAAGCACAGATCATCTCACCAGAATGCCATGCCATGAGTTACAGTATGAATTTGAAGACACATTTGTGTGGCTTACCCGGGAACCTGAGAAATAATACAGGGGTTAAGGCATTTAACAGGATGTGGCTGTTAGGATTCAGTCCCTGGCAACACATATAGTCTCTCCAGTAGAGCAAGGAGTGATCCCTAAGCAGAATCAGGAGTAAGCCCTGAGCACAACAAGGTGTGGGTCAAAAAAAAAAAAAAACCCAAAAAATTAACGGAGAGAGCACAATTCCTAGAATGGTGTGAGGTCCTGATTTTCAGCCTCAACATCAAATGGTCTTCAACCACCATCAGGTATGGACCCTGTTAAAACAAAAACCTCCTGAAGGCCTCAGCACAGCTCACACACCCAGAATTGAAACAGAGATCTGATCCTTGGGATAGGAAATGTGAGGAGAGGCCTGTTTGTTCAGGACACCCCCGATCTTTTGTTTCTTAATGGCTTAGAAACCATTTGGCCCAAAAGTCCCTAGAAATGGGCTCACCAACTGCAAACTCCCAGAAAGTTCCACAGTGTAGATTCATTCTAGTTCTCTGTGTCCTTATGAGACCAGAATTTGCATATGACCAACAGGTGTCTTTCAGAGCAGAAGCTGAGCAAAACGGTCTACAGACACCTTCATTAGGGCCTGAAGAACAGATACAAGGTCAGGGAACCAAGCTGATGTCTTCCTTACACACGAATAGTTTTAAAACAGTTCTAAAGAAAGATGATGTGCTTTACACACTGGGATCACTGCGAAAGAAAGGGACTCAAGGCAGGGCTCTTCCTTGCCTGTATGAAACACTGGATTAAAAAAAAAAAAAAGAGAGGCGCCCAAGAGTAGTAAGAAGGTGGGGCACTTGCCTTGCACTTACCTGGGTTTGATCCCTAGCATCTCAGATGATCCCCTGAGCACTGTCAGGAGTGATTCCTAAGTGCAGAGCCAAGAGTAAACCATGGGTGTTGTCTTTGTGGCCCAAAAACAGAAACAAGAAAAGAAAAGGAGGTAAGAGAGTAAAAGAAAATACTGGATAGGAGCTCAAAAGTAGTCGGTAGGAGATTTCACTTGGAAAAAAGTAAAATTCTGACTTTTCACCCAAGTTCCAAAATGGCCTAAGTATCTCCTTACTATCTCCACCTATTAAATCTAATATAGGAAAATTGAGTACAGTCTCTACAAATTCATTTTTATTACAGTTTTATTCGTCCCAGTATATATATATGTATATATATGTATATATATATATATATATATATATATATTACTTACTGTCTCTTACTTGGCAGTCTCTGCCCCCGCGCCTGGGTGTTCCTTCCGGAGTCCCTTGGAGGGGAGCGGGTTGAGCTTTCCTCCCCGCCCCGACCAGGGCTACGGCAGCCGAAGACCTCCAGGACCAGCCACCACCATGCTGAGACCACTCTCCGCACACATGAAGGTACTGGCAGAGGGACAAAGCCACGCGGGTTCCGGGGCCGAGACCTCCAAGCCTACTCGAATTGGAGTCGAGCATCTTCCACCCAGATCCTCCAAATTCCAGTAGGCGGGGGTCACACCCACCACCTGGCCCCCTGGCGCCGTGTAATCCCATCAGCGGCCAAGACTCAGAGACTATAAAATACAGATCCCGGAACCGCGCGGCCGCGAATGCATCTTATCAGAACTTTTTTTATGACATCTTATTGTCTTATTTCTACTTTGGACAAACTTGCAGGCTATCGAATGTAGCCTGCCCACAGGGCAGAGTCTGGCAAACTCCCCGTGGCGTACCAAATATGCCAAATACCAGTAACAATGATGGGTCTCACTCTCCTAAATAGCCTTGAATATAATCTCAGGGCTAGGATGAAAGAGACGTTACTGGGGCCTGCTCGAGGCAATCGACTTACTGTCACTGTCCTCCCGTTGTTCATCGATTTGCTCGAGCCAGGCCCAGTAACGTCTCCATCATGAGACTTGTTACTGTATTTGGTACATCGAATACGTCACGGGTAGCTTGCCAGGCTTTGCTCTGCAGGCAAGATACTCTTGGTAGCTTGCCGGGCTCTCCGAGAGGGGCGGAGGAATCGAACCCGGCTCGGCCGTGCTGGCTATGCACAAGGCAAACGCCCTACCCGCTGTGTTATTGCTCTAGCCCATTTTATTTACAAGGAGTAATTTTATTTAAAAGAAAATCAAACTTTTTTTCACCCCCTAAATCAAACAGTGTCTCTTTTACACACTAAGTACCATCCAAGTATGAAACAAACTACACACATTACTCCTCCCCTGATCTATGTTAGCAGTCTTACGACAGTTGTCATTTCTACTGTGGGCCTCTACAAACTGCATTGCACCCATCCACACAGAAGACCTAATGAGCTTTCAGAATAGAAGAGAGTTGGTCTTGCTCACCTAGACCTCTTGTGTCTTCCTTCCCACTACCATAAGAAGTCCCGTGGCAGCCTGTTGAGGGATCCTGTATGATGAGAATCTTGACTCCCCGGCTTTATCACACACAATCGAGTTCTCTGCAGCATAGCCAAAATGCCTTCTTGCACTTCTTTTCACACTGTTTTCTTCCCACCAGCAGACCTTGGTGCACGTTTTCTCTGCTTGAAACACTCCTGCAATTCCTCTGGTGTATGTATTTTGGGTCTTTGTTGCTCACAGGTTGTTCCTGAGTACTTGGGGGACCATACCGTGCCAGGGGTTGACCCTGAATCTCCCACATAGAAAGCATCGGCACTAGCCCTTTGAGCTGTCTTACTGTCAAGTCACTGATTAATCACAGCCTCAGCTATCGCTTAAATCAGAGCGTGACCTAAAATTGTACACTTGCATATATACTTGCATATACCAGGTGCCTTTTCTTCGGAGTATTTTAACATGTGTGATTGTTTGATTCAAATGACTTTCTTTACAAGATCACAAGTTCCAAAATCTGAGATCTTTTTTTTTTCATTTGGGCAAAATACCCATTAAGCGTTAAACATGTATACTCATTGAACAGTTATATCTATCCCCTTGGCTTTAGTCTTGGCTTACTACTTTATGTCTCTGTGATTTTTTACATGTATGGAATCATGCATGTATTTGTCTTTTTTGAACTGGCTTGCGTGTAGGGTTTGCATCCAGATAAACTGAACATGCTCTGTTGATTGGTTGTATCTTTTGAAGAAATCACCACTTAAAGTTGAGAGGTGACTTATGGTTGGGACATGTGTTTACCCTTAGAGTAGCCATTATGGACAGATTTAGAAAATAGATTACTGTTCCTGTGTCATTCATGTGGATTGGGATGAAGAAAACTGAGCAAAACATAGCCTTGTTAAAAAAGCGGATATTCACTGTGAGTGATTTCTAAATCTGTATGCACAACAGGCTCATCTGGGGAGTTCTTAATCATACAGTTATGTGGATTTTATACAAGGGCGTAAGGGACTTTTAGTAGTCATACCCACATCATTTTATGTCTATTGTGCTTTTGAGATTTGTGATATTTCCAAAATGTGAATATTTCAGAAGAGTATGTAATGTACTAAGTACCAAATAAAAAATTTCCTATCCTTTTATTTTTTGCCTGTCTCTTTCCTTGACCCTGTGCTAGGATTTTTTTCCTCATCTCTGATACTTCTTCAGTAAATTAGTAATTGCTGTTTTCTGAATTCTGCTTTTGCCCTGAAAATTGTTGCTTTCCTTCCAGATCCTTTTCTCTCTTGCATAAACTGTTCTTCACTTCCAGTGTTCTTTTATTTTCTCTCACCATGATACAGTATTCCATTCTTTGGGCAGATAGATCTGAGTGTCTCTCATAGATTATTCTTTACTTTCAATAGCAAGAATCGACAGTAGCTAATAGAAATAGAAATTCCTCTGCAGGGTGTGGTAGAGGAAGCTAAGCTTTATGTTGAAAGTTTGAATTTCTTCAGGGTCATTCTTACCAATATTTTTTCTCTCTTCTAGGGAAGAAGAAGAATATTTGAGAAATAAAATTCGAGCGGATCATGAGAAGGCCCTAGAAGAAGCAAAAGAAAAATTAAAAAAGTCAAGAGAGGAAATCCAAGCAGAAATTCAGACAGAAAAAAATAAGGTAGTTCAAGAAATGAAGATAAAAGAGAAAAAGTCACTGCCTCCAGTATTTATACCAAACCTCATAGGAATAAAAGGTGGAGACCCAGAAGATAGTGACATACGAGAGAAAAGGGAAAAAATCAAAGAGGTAATAAGCTGCAGATATACAATATGGAGTAGATTATAGATATGTGTTGTCATGGATTATTTGAACATAGACAAGCACACAAACATACACACATACCATCTGTGTTGTCATTCTTGGGTCTTACTTGTTTTGGGATCACAAGTTTTCTAGTCAAGTCGTTAAGTTGGAAGATCCATAAACAACTGATTATTAAGTAAGGGATTTCTTAAATGTATAGTTACAAGGAATACTGCTAGATACTGTGCATATCTCCTTGAAAGCTTGCTTCTGAAGAGTTTAATATATCGTCCATCTTTTATAGAACATGTCATGTGAACCCTCAACTATAACATAGATCAAGAATACATTTCTAGGACTCAGTGACAGAACATTTGCCTTGCATGCCTGAGATCCTGGGTTTGGTTCCTGGCTTTGCAAAAAAATAAAGCAACAGCAACAACAACAAAAAACACATTGCTTCCAAAGAATGTGAAGGATTATCACAGATTTTTTTATATTTGTTTGGTCTCTCAGACATCTCTCTGTTATTCTAGAAGTGACTCAGAGATAGAATAATACCATAGGGTGGTGGATCTAGTTACCTTTTCAATTGAATTTTGTTAATTAGAACTCCTGTTATTCTAGGCGAGTTTGCAGTAGTAGTGCCTTATAAAGAAAATGCCTGTCAGAGTGCAGTCGACATTCCTTATGCGTACACATCAGGAACTCTGTATTTTGCATTTTCAAGGCCTACACAATAATATTTATTATCTTGAAAGCTGGAGAGGGTTAAATCCCTCCCAATATGGAGAAAATAAGTAATGGAAAGAGAGAAACATAATGGACATATTATAGACAATACCATTTATATGCTTGGATTCAACCAAACTTAAAGTAACTTGATTGCTCCTGCTTAAATCAGCTGTTCCCAGTCACTTTATATAAGTCAAGAGATTTTCAGACTATAAATTGTGGTCAAATACTGCCTGTACTTAGGTTGTTATTAAAAACAAAGTGAAAAGCGCAAGTGTGAGCTAGCCATTCCCATTTGCTTATCATCTGGAGCTAGAGCTGACTCTGCTACGAGAGCGGTTTCATTCTCGTTATTGAGATCGTATTTCCTGCAAAGCCTAACATATTTACGGAAGGAGATCACTTACCTTTATTCTAAGGCTCAAGTATTGTCTTGGCAAACCATGTTAATTGGTTGTTGAACCAGAGTCCCTTGATTGACAGCTCAGTCATCATCACAGTGAGGGAAGGAGAGCCATTCCTTACGGTATTGAGAGTTCCTAAAAGGATGGGAAGACACCTTTATCCCCAATGTAAAGAACTTATTACATTGTTTCCTTTTGTCGTGTATATATTGAGGTTACATAGTTATGTATTTTCACAGACATAAATCTTAGCATAATACAATGATGTAGGAGATACAGAAGAATAAGTAATGGTATTGCAATGAAATTCTTTAGTTACGTGAAAGGTAAAGATAATAATCTGTGAGTGATGTAAACTGATGAATGACAATTTTTTGTTCCGTAGATGATGAAACATGCCTGGGATAATTACAGGCTGTATGGATGGGGCCATAATGAACTCAGACCTATTGCAAGGAAAGGTCACTCCACTAATATATTTGGTAAGTTTAATTTTTCTAATAACAGTTTTCTACCTTCGTTTCCAAAACAGGACCTAGTTTTTAAGTACTTCCTAAAACCTAAATATTCCTCTGTCACTAATTTGAAGTAGCACATATTTTGTTTCCTTTGCTTTGTCAAGTCTCAGCCAAATTTTAGTTATGGCTCCGTTGGAAGAAACAGATAAATGGTAATTTATTTGTTTAACATACAGGTGTTAGTCATTTGGCTTAGCATTTTGAACTTTCTCAGTCTATAATTTGCAGTGCCAGGGATTAAACCCAGGGCATCATATATGTGAAGAGTATTTTCTATCCCATTCCCACCCCCCAGTGTTTTTTTTTTCTTTCTTCAAATCTAGGAAGGTAGATAACTATTTTTATTTATTTATTTTTTTTTGGTGGGCTGGAGCGATAGCACAGCGGTAGGGTGTTTGCCTTGCACGCAGCCAACATGGCCGACCCGAGTTCGATTCCTCCGCCCCTCTCGGAGAGCCCGGCAAGTTACCGAGAGTATCTCGCCCGCACGGCAGAGCCTGGCAAGCTACCCGGGACGTATTCGATATGCCAGACACAGTGACAACAAAGTCTCCAGTGGAGATGTTACTGGGCCCACTCGAGCAAATTTTTTGGTGATCAGTTGCCATTCTCCCCAGGTGCCTGTTCCAGTCTCACTAAGCTCCCCAGTCCAGTCTTCTCCTGTCCCCCTTGCTCTTCCCCTGGCACTCCCACTCGCCCCCTTGGTTTCTCTCTAGTCTCTCCCCCTAGGTAACTCTTTGCGTCTCCCCCTGCCCAACAGATTTCCAATTCTGATACTCTGAAGGAGGAGGATAGAAAATTAAAATAATCCTGACTTTGATACTCACAAAGGAGGAAAGGATACAAAATTCTGATCTTAATAGAGGAGGAAGGGGGTACAAAATTCAGTAGTACACACACACAGACACACACACACACACACAGAAGGAGAGAGACAGACACACACACATCTATGTATGTAAAACATAAGACTTACACAAGATGACTTGGTGGGTAAGTTGACTGGGTTTCTTGTACATTCACAGGTTCAAGGAAAACGTCCTTGTGGGTGGAGGTCTGGAGAATAGCTCTATTTAATTTTTCTTTAGCTGCCTGCCTCTCATAAGTTCAGTCTTCCTTTTCAGTTTCCCAGTTTAAAAGAATAAGGATGCTGAACCCAAACTTGATAGTTTAGCTCCCTTTTCTTTTTGCTTTATTTCCTTCATTCAGGCATGATCCTGAAAGATAATGCATTTCTCTTCATCCCCTAGATGACAGTGCTAAGAGGCAGGAATGAGCTCTCGAGACTCTGAATCTGCTGCTCTGCTGATTCTGTACACTTCTCTCTGATTTCATTGTTTGAGTGTTTCTGGAACAGGCTAAACCCCTTGCTGTTGTGTCAGATTACCTAAAGTAGTTGGTCAACAGTCTTAAATCCATGAAAATTTGCATCCCAGTTCTATTCAAACAAAAAAACAAGGATAACTACAAACTGCCTGTGTTAATTACAGACCCTTAGATTTTACTAACTTTCATAACTCGAACTTTCCCTGCCTCTTGAAGATCTGCTAGTGAAGCAGTAACTGCCCAATAAAAGTCTCTAGACTCTCTAGCTAAAGCGTTAGTCCTTGATTGTGTTTTAGATAAAAGCGGCTCTTTGTCTCTGTGTAGTACACTATATACTAGTGGTTTTCAGCTACACGCCCACAGGTGAAAATAGGCTAACCTCTCTATGCCAGAGGAGTTGTGCGCTTGAAGTGGTGGACAAGAAAAGCCTCTTTAAGAAAGGGTGCCGAGAAAACTGTATAATTTCTTGTTTAAAAAAAAAAAAGAAACCGCCCCTGTATCTCACACCATACATAAAAATTAATTCAAAGTGGGTTTAAAGATCTAAAACCATAAATTACATTAAGGAAACAGGCAGAACTCTCTAGAAAGTGGACATTAAAGGTACTTAATTACCTGATCCCACTGGCAAAGGTAACAAAAAAATAAGAAATGGGGACTATGTGAAATTGAAAACTTTCTGTGACCTGATCCCGCTGGCAAGCGTAACAGAAACAAAAATAAGCAATATACAAAAATAAACAAAAATAAGCATGAAATTGAAAAGTTTATGCATGGAAAAAGAAGCTCAGGCTGAAAAAAAAAGGGAGAAAATATTTGCACTGATACTTAAGAAAAAGAATTTATATTTAAAATCTGTAAAGCGCTGAAAAAGTTCAACAACAGGAAAACCATAACTCCATTAAAAAAACAGAAGAGAGAAATGGATGCTTCCATAAAAAAGACATAGGGGTTGACAATTAGCAAATGAAAACCTGCCCATTATCACTTAGTGTCAGGGAGACACTGATCATAATGTCAGTGAGGTATCCGCTCACACCAGTGAGATTGGCATAAAGCAAGAAAACTGAAAACAACAAATGATGGCAGGGATGTCGTGTAAAAGGAACCCTCATTCACTGCTCATGGGGATGTCATGCCACGCAGTCTTTATGACAAACAATATAGAGAGTTCTCAAAAAAAAAAAAAGAGAGCAGAAACGGAGCTCCCATTTGAGTCAATAATCTCACTTTTGGTACCTACCTCCGAAAACACAAGAACATTCATTTGAAGAGATCAAGGCACATCTGTGTTCATTGCAACTGTTGGTACAGTAGCCAGGTTAGGGAAGCATGCCAAGTGTCCAACAACCGATAAATAAGTTGTATATATACATAGTGGAATACAGTGCAGCCACCAGGGAAAATAGTTACTTATTCCAGGCAACTTGATGGAACTGAAAGGTGTCATGTTAAATGTAAGAAGCAGAAGGGATAAGGACAAATACAGGATGGTCTCATTCATCTGTGGTATATAGAGAAACATTCGATACTAACGTTGTATATTCTAATATAGACCTGAGACTTAAGCTTGGGTGGTGGGGGGAAGGGAACAAACAGGTTGCCTGGAAATAACATGGGTACAGAATTGGAGGGTTTGTAGCACATGGGTGGTTCTTTGGAGATTACGTAACAGTGCGGACCCAAACCATATCTGTCAAATAACAAATAATGGGAGTAGGGCTAGGAGAGAAGAAATGTCAGGTATCAGTGGCTACAGGGTTGGGGCAGGGTTTATGGCCATTCTGGTGGTGGTGGGACATTTGTACATCAATTTCTGAAACTTGAACGCTATTGTAATCCCATCACCTAAGTACAGTATAAAGTATAATAAAACTTTTAAACCATTGATATTCACTACGTGCTGGACCTGGATTCACAATTCTGGAGAAAACGAAACTCAGTAATGAATTTGGATTAAACAACTAACTCCTTTAGCCACCTTTTTTCCAGTTGATTTTGGGGGTCTTGGGGGCCCTGACGCTGATTGTTTATTTTAAGCACTCGAGACTTGCTGTATTTATAACTGTAACCTAAACACATAAGAGCCTAAAATGGAGCAAAAAGTGAACCCCAAAGCTCATAGAGGAAGGAAATAATAATAATAATAAAAACAAGAAGATAGTATGGTGGGTCAGTGAAGCTAGAGGCTAGGTCTTTGAAGAAATAAACAAAATAAACAAAATCTTTACCTAGACTCAATGGGGGAAAAACAGCACAAACCCAAAGTAATCAGATCATAAATGAAAGGGGAGAAATTAGAGCAGATTCCTCAGGAATACAGAAGGTCAATTCTATGCTGTAAAGCCGAAGGGTGTAGAAGAAATGGATGGTTTCTTTCCTACATGCATATTCTCTCCCAAAACTGAGTGAAGGGGTAGGAGAACCCGAGCAGACCAGTCCCAAGTGAGGAAATTGAAACAGTGATTAAAATTTTCCCAGGAACAAATGCCCTCGTATAGACAGGTTCACTGATGAGTTTTATCAAGTCTACAAAGAACACTTGGCTACTACACTCCTCACCTCTTTTTAAGATAGTGAAGTAAAAGAAATTAAAACAGCTTCTATGAACTAGCATTTCATAATACTCAAAGCAGAGTTACCACTAAAAAAAAAAAAATTAGGGCCAGTTTCACTGAGCATAGATGTAAAAATCTTCAACAGAATCTTAGCAAACCGAATCCAACTGCATATCAAAATGATCATATACTGCAATCAGGTGGGATTCAGACCAGGTATGGAAAGATGGCTCAACATAAAGTAAAGTAAAGGAAAGGCCCTCCCGTTGATCGTCGATTTGCTCGAGCGGGCCCAGTAACGTCTCCATTGGAGACTTTGTTGTTACTGTGTCTGGCATATCGAATACTCTCGGTAGCTTGCCGGGCTCTCTGAGAGGGGCGGAGGAATCGAACTCGGGTCGGCCATGTTGGCTGCGTGCAAGGCAGACGCCCTACCCGCTGTGCTATCGCTCCAGCCCATATCAGTATAGCAAACTGTAAAATCATACACAAAAATTTGTATGGCTCAACATACGCAAATCAATTAATGTCAATTAATGTCTCTACAAAAGGAAAGATAAAAATCATATGATTATATCAACTGATGCAGAAAAAGGTTTTGACAAAATCCTGCATACATTCTTGGTAAAAATCCTCAACAAGATAGGGGAAAATGGACACTTTCTCAAGTTACTAACAACCATTTGCAGCAAACCCATAGCTAGTATTATACTCAACTGTAAAAAAAAAAAAAAACACCTCAGCATCTTCCCTCTGATGTCAGGCAGAAGGCAAGGATGTATTTTCTCCAGTACTATTCCATGTAGTACTATAAGTCCTACTGGCAGCCATTAAGACTTTTAAAAAAAAGGGCGGGGGAAGGGTGGGTCTATTTAGTAAAAGAAGTCAAATTGTCACTATTTGTAGATGATACGGTAATATGCATGGAGTACCTTAGGATTCCACTAAAAATCTTTTGGAAATAATAAAACAACATATCAGTGTAGCACTGTAACACTGTCCTCCCATTGTTTGTTGATTTGCTTGAGCGGGCACCAGTAACACCTCTATTGTGAGACTTGTTGTTACTGTTTTTGGCAT